TATGGCCTTTTGATGAAGCAGGTTTGATTTCTCCTACAATATCCAAAGCTCATCCCCTAAAAGGCCAAGGTTTGACAACATAATGTAATTCACTAGCTGGTACATGTTGAATTCCAGAATGTTTTTGGCATTCTTGACAGCTTTTGGCGAACTCAATGCAATTTTTTAATATGGTCGACCAATATACTCATATTCGACACAACAACAATTTCATTTTTTGTCCTGCCTGATGTGTACCACAAGCTCCACTATGTACTTCAGATGTTGTTACATATGCTTCGTTTTCCCTTAAGAATTTTAACAAAACTCCTTCAGGGGTTTTCCTCAACAATTCGTTTCCCATCAATCTGTAACTTAACGCCATGTACTTAACTTTGCGCTCTGTCATCCCAACTGGATTTTTCAAGTAGTCGACTATAGGTTTCCTCTAGTCATTATCAGCTAACGCATCAATGGCAAAAACTTCCTCTACCACTTCAAAATTTCTAAAATAATCATAATTCAGGAGATCAGGGATCGCTTCAGGCTCTGTCCCCCAAGTTTTTGTCATTTGCGTGTTCTTACACACCAATTTATCTCTAACCTCAATGAATTCGTCTATGCTCTCTTTAGGTACTTTATATCCAGACGCTAATTGGGCCATGTCGTTCGCCTCTTGATTGTCAATACGCTTCACATGACTAAACGACACGTTATCAAATTTCTGAAGTAACGACGATGCTTTAGCCACATGCATTACCAGATGATCCTTAACGCATTTGTATTCACTGGTCAACTATTTCACCACTAACTCTGAATCTCCTTTGGTGTCAACGTCCTTGATTCCAACGTCTAACATAATTTGAAGTCCAATTATTAAGGCTTCATATTCAGCCTCATTATTAGAGCATTCGCCTTTAATCTTATAATGAGATCTAGTTGGAACTCCATCTAGTGATAAAATAAAGATCCCTACTCCCGTCCCTTATTTATGTTTAGAACCATCAAAATAGCATTGCCAAGACTTAGTGCTTATATAGGCTTCATAGATGTCGACCACATAATGGTCAACTATAAAGTCTGCAATAATTTGCCCTTTGACTGATTTTAAAGGAACACGTGTTAAAGAGTATTCAGTTAATGCTAGTGCCCATTTCCCAATTCGACCGTGCAAGATAGGTTTAGATAACATATGCTTAATGACATCAAAATGAGAATAAACAGAAACTTCAACTGGTTTTATATAATGCTTGAGTTTAATACATGAAAAATATAAACATAAACATAGTTTTTCAATTGCATTATATCTAGTTTCAGCGTCATTTAACACTTGACTGAGGTAATAAATGGCTCTTTCGACTCCATTCTCATCTTCATGGGCTATCATACTTCCTAGTGTCGACTCTGACGATGCAATGTAAAGTTCCATGTCTTTGTTTCTGTTTGGGGGTGCCAACATTGGAGGTTTCACTAAGTAGTCTTTTAATCGGTCAAATTCCTCTTGGTGTTCTCTTTCCCACGTGAACTCAGATTCTTTGCTTAGTTTTAACAAAGAAGAGAACGCCAAAGTTTTTCCACTCATTTTTGATACGAACTGTCTTAAAAAGTTTATCTTTCCCAACAAAGATTGGAGCCCTTTCTTCGTCGTTGGCGCTTTTGTACTCAAAATCACCTTGATTTTTTTCTGGTTAATCTCTATACCCTTCTTGTGTACTACAAAACCTAGAAAGTATCATGCATGAACACAAAAAGCACATTTTAATGGATTTATTTTTAATCCATATTCCCTCATTCTAACAAAAGACTGTCGAAGGTGGTCTAAATGACCAGCTCTGAAGGCGATTTGACTACAATGTCATCAATGTACACCTACATGAAGGTGTCTATGAAATCATGAAACATTGTGTTCATTGGTCTTTGATAAGTAGCTCCAGCATTTTTCAAACCAAAAGTCATGACTACCCACTCGTATGTGCCTAGTGCCCCCGGGCATCGAAACGCGGTTTTGTGGGTGTCCTCTTCAGCGATAAAATTTTGGTTTTAGCCTGAATATCCATCCAAAAGACTTAAATATCCATACCCTATGGCCAAATCAACCAGCATTTCTGCCACAGGCATTAGATATTCATCCTTCAGAGTGGCTTTATTTAAATCACTAAAATCTATGAAATTCTTAAAGCTCCATTTTTCTTCACTACATGGACTATATTAGCTAACCATTCAATGTACTAGGTTGTCCTGATGAATCTGCTTTTTAATAACCGTCCGATCTCTACTTTGATTTTGGATAGCACTTCTGGCGTGAACCTCCTTCGCATCTATTTGACTGGTTGCTTGCCTGGATTTATAGGTAGTTTAATTTCCACCATCTCCCTGCTCAAACCAGGAATCTCGTTGTAATCCCATGCAAAACAATCTCTGAATTCTTTAAGCAATTCAATTACTTGATCCTTCACTTTACTGTCGATCTTAGTGTTGATGTATGTAATTCGCCTAATCGCACCATCACCCAGGTTGACTTCCTCCAATGAATATTGTGCTTGCATATTCAAAATATGATATGTTGGATCTTTTTCAAACCCCAAAGGCTCTTCTTCATATCTGCAGTCAAGACTCTGGCTTTCTGAAGCTGTTGTTTGGCTTGGTTCTCCAAGCTTTTCCACCATAATGGCTTTAGGGGCCATTTTTGAAATATTTCCAACCTCTAAGGCCGAATTTATCATGCTTTCGGTTATATAGGCCAAAATCCATGCCAAAGCATTTGACTCGGGCATCATTATGAGTTTGTTCTTCCCACGCTGTGGGTTCAAACTCCCCTTCTGTAGTTGGATATGTATCCATCTTTTCTTGATCCCAAATGAAACCATGAGTAGGGTGTAAGGTTAGAAACTTGATCGCACCAGGATGTGACTTGAACACTGTATCTTTAGGATCACACGGAGGTATAGTAGCTAAGGCTTTATCAAAATTCTTCTTGTTGATCATACCCATATCAACAATAAAGTAATTGTGATCTGCCTTAATGTTCTCCACAATCCCATCTTGGCGCCATATGAATAAGCGTTGATGCAAATTCGATGGTATTATCCCAATGCCATGTACCAACTCACGTCCTAGCAACAGATTATAGTTCGCTTTGGACGCAATCACCATAAACAGTGTTGGCTTCGAAGTCGAGCCAACTGACAAATTTACTTGAATCACACCTAGTATGTGACTTGTTTTCCTTCATAGTTCGAAAAAGTCATGTTATGTGGTTTAAGGTCAGTGTCGAACTTATCAATCTTTTTTAGCAATGACTGTGGCATCAAGTTCACAGCAGCACCACCATCAACGAACACTTTGTTCACAGGGAAACCATCAACTTTAGCCCTTATAAACAAAGGCTTGAGATGGTACATCATATCAGATGTAGGCTTCTCAAACATCGCCTATTGTTCTTCGACCACCCCATTATTCATGACATAGTAGCATAGAGGTTTTTGGCCTGTTGATTCTTCGCATAAAGTCTCTTATTCGTCCCCAGATGCCTCTGATGCGAAACCATACTCATTAGGAAGGACCGACACAATATTACAATGTATAATTAAGCCATCATCTGAACTATCTTTAAAGTCGTCAAATAGTTCATCGTCCATGTTGTCATCACCAGGATTTTCAACTTTTGCTGGCGACGCACACACAACAGGCATCGATAACCTCTCTCTTGTTGGTCGCTGATGCACTCCCTTCTGAACGCTCTCACCCTTTGATGGAGTAGCTTTTATTGTCGCTTCTCTTGCAGCTTTCTTATTTCTCTGAAACCTTCTCCACTGAGTCTTTGTCATAGGATTTTTCCCTTTGTATGTGGGAGGAACATGATACCACTTTGAAGTGACCCCAGCTTCAGCAAATTGGGAAGAATTAGATCCCTTCTCCATCATTTCCCATTTATGACTCGAACCCGAACCCTTTTTTACCACCTTCCAACTCTGGTTTTCCCCCTTAGTTAGAAAGGACAAACCCAGTTGTTGTTAGGAACATCAGTTGGTGGTACAAAAGTCCTTTGATACAGAAAACCAGGATTTCCTTGAGGCACTTGGACTTTGTATGCCCCATTCGCATGGTCCAACACCACCTTTGGATTCTTCTCTTGAGGGTTCTTCTTCTTCAACACCTCAATTTTCTTCACATCATTTTCATCATAGACTATGTTGCAATTTGGGCATAACATAGACCTGGAATTACCTAGCTTGCACGTGTTCAGAAAATCCACCAACTCCTCTTCAGTTTTGGGAAAAACAACCTTCATTAACTCAGCAATTGTTTCTTCAGACAATTCTTCATTTTTAGTTTTACAATCCATTTTCTCCCCGTCGTCTTGGTTAACTTCAGGCTCTTCAGCAATATCAACCACCATCACTTCTTGTGGCCTAGACAGGTTTCCATTGCCACTTTTGAGACCTTCAGTAGTCTCGATTGATGCAACTATCATTGGATCAGCAGTCACAGCTTGTTCACTCTCAAAACCATCAGTGGTCTTGATTGTCAATGTTGTGAGTGAATTGATAATTCCCACATGTTCGCCTTCGAGACCATCAATAGCCTCGATCATCACTACTTCCAATGGTTCGATAAAATGTGCATCAGCAACATGCAAATTTCAATGATAAAATCGTAGTCAAAGGTGCGGTTTTTAAGAAAATGATTAGATGTGTTGATTTTAATGATAAAATTAATATCATTTACTAAAACACTTTGATTTATTATAATTAGTAGAATAATTGAAAAACGTGAAAACTAATAAATAAGGATATAGTAGTGAAAAAAATAAAAATATTATATTAATATTTTAAACAGACGTTTATTTTGAGATATGAAAAAAATATAAATAAGACATTTGTTATGATAGTAAAAATTTTCAATAAGTGTTTAAAATTTTGATAGAATAGAATAAAGAATTATATATTTAGTGTTTAAAATTTTGATAGAATAGAATAAACAATTATATATTTAGTTTAATGTATGATAAATATGTATACCTCATGCGGTAGACCCCATAATCGACGAAGATAAAAATCTGATTGAGATTCGACAATTTTAGGAGGCAACCTTTCAGCTCCCGGAGGATTTGTAGGTAGCCATATCTACATGACAGTGAAATATACCTATTAATAAATAGTTTCTATCAAGTGTGTTGGAAATTGTATTGATGATAAGATCCCATTAACATAAGCATACCTTTGTGGTCTCATTGAGTTTGTGATGCTCGATAGAGAAGTTTCTACCATCTTTAAGATACGGTGAATATATGGTAGAAATTTGGTCATCAACATATATGAGATTAATGGATGGGATAAGGCTTGATGATAGATTCATCTAACAAATTCACATTATTAGTTTAATTAATCACTTAAAATGCCATGAAACAACATACTTTAAAATATCACACACCTTTGTTAACGATAGTCCTAGAAAGATGCCAAAAACAAATCCCACAAATAATGCTATTGTGGTTTTCATTGCTTCTTTTCCACTATAAGACAAAATAAAAAATATATTAGATGAAGTAGTAGTTAGGAAGAGTAATTCATGAGTCATGACATACAAATATATTCAAGAGAAGTCGCACCTTTTTATAGGAGAGTTCATTGTATTCAATATTTTTTGAGATATGGACTTAGAGATTATGCAAGATTCTCATATATATGCAGTCAAGTAATTACTCCCTGAAAAAATATTTATGAAAAAAACATAGCAAATATCTTAAATATATATACAATTAATGAAAATATAAAACATGATAGCAACAATAGTAATTTGAGAGAGTAGTCAAATAATTGACTTTGAATAAAAAAAAGAACGATAAATACACAAGAATAGGAAAAGAAAAAGGTAACTACCAATGTATTGTTGATTATTTTGTGCAAGTAATTGGAAAGGTGAATTGATAAAGAAACGACTACCAATGAGGCTAGATTTTATTTAAGATTTTGGTTTCATGGTAACGGCGTTGATTATGGAAAGACGACATTGTTGATTTCAAATCAAATTTATTAATTATACTATCTTTTTTAATTTAACTTTTTACTCAATTGTGATTTGAATAAAAGTAAAACTAAATGTCCTTTTAAGTTCTTCTCATACTAAAATTATTATTTAACAAAAAATTTATTATTACCAAACTAAATTTTTTTGATTGATCCAATGTAACATTGAAAACTAATAATGAATTCCTCATTGGAATATAATATTTATAGAATTTATATATATATATATATATATATATATATATATATATATATATATATATATATATATATATATATATATATATATATATATATATATATATATATATATATATATATATATATATATATATATATATATATATATATATATATATATATATATATATATATATATATATATATATATATATATATATATATATATTATTAATTAAATAGTATAATTTCATTTTGTTAAAAAATTATTAAATTTATAAATATCAACAATTTATTTACTTAATGCATAAATATAAATAAATGTGTTCATAAAACAATTTATATAATTATCAATTGAACTATATCTCTCACCTATTAAACAATATAATTGAAAATAATAATAATAATAATAATAATAATAATAATAATAATAATAATAATAATAATTTTTTAAAAATGAGAATTCATTCATTTTAAAATAATATTTATTTATAAAATGATATTTATTCTAAAACAGAATAAATAAAGTGATTTTTATGATAGAATATCTAAACTATACATCTAAATATCATTTTTTACACAAAAAATCTAAGTATCTTTAAAAACTACTTTATATATATATATATATATATATATATATATATATATATATATATATATATATATATATATATATATATATATATATATGTGTGTGTGTGTATGCTCAAAAAGAAAAAGAAAAAGAAAAAGAATTTGAATTCAATTTGTAAAATCTCAATTTAAAAATGCTCAATCCATGTAAAAAAAATTTGATGTTCTTCTATGAAGTAGTAAAAAATTAAGCTATGTGATTAATTTAAGTAAAGTTAAAGAGAGAGAGAGATAGAATAGAAATATCAAATTTGTGTTAATTGAGTGAAGTTAAAAAAGAGAATAAAAAATAGTAAATATATTTGTTAAAATAGAAATATCATAGTATTTTTGTCTGTACATGTAAAATAGTACTATTTTTCACATCCCATTCCTTATTCAACCAACCAGAATGAGAAATAAACAAATCCCTTTCTTTTTTATATCTTTTCTATTTTTTACCTTATTCTCTTATATGTCTTTTTTTAATCTTTTTTTCCTCTTCCCACATTCTTTACCTTTACCTAATTCTTTTCACAATTTTTCTACGAAACTCAAGAATATTTTGAAGATTTACCAGAATCAAAGACATTAATTAACATTAAAAAAGCATGGTGATGGTAACGTTAAAAACGAAGAATGTGAAATTGAATATAAACACCTTCAACACATAACCCATATATCCATTATTTGATAGCAAAAACATAAACAAGGAAACGCAAATGAAGCAGATAGATAAATAAATTGAATAATTATTATACGGATAACAAGAATGATAAAAGAACAATATGAAATAAATTTGTGACTAAGATTGGTTTTGAAATGAAGTGTAACATAAAGTATGAATTTGTGAAACTTACCTCTCTCTGCACTGGAAACTGATGCTCTTCTTTTCAACTAATGCGACCCTTTTTTTCTTCTCTATTTTTGTTAATTTAATGTATATGTTATATGTATATATAAAATTTGCAAGATGTGAAGGAAAAGAACGAAAAGTCACTCAATTAATTGCAAGTTATTTTATTTTTTCATTTAATTAATTAAATTTAATTTGGTCAAATTTATTTCTAACCATAATTATTTTTTTTTTTCAATGGTAAGACTCAATATAATTTTTTTTAATATATAATTTATTAAAAAAATAACATAATTTAATCTCAACTTTTTTTTGGTTGATGAAAAAAATAAAAAATAAAAAGAATGAAGAATAAAATTATTGTTGTACGTGCTAGGTTGATAAGAGAAACAACAATAATAGTAAAAATATTTTTTTTTAAATGATATAAATTTCTATAAATAAAAGTATTTTATTCAAATAGAATAAAATACTTTTATAAAAATCAATAAAAATTTACTAAATAGAAAATTAAAATTAAAGATAATAGAAATAAAAGGTATATCCTTTAAAAATAAGACAAAATTTGACTAATAAATATTAAATACTATTATAATAATAAAAATTATATATATATATATATATATATATATATATATATATATATATATATATATATATATATATATATATATATATATATATATATATATATATATATATATATATATATATATATATATATATATATATATATGTTTTTTTTTCCTGATAGCACTCTTTAAATGCTAGTATAGTATTATAATATTTGCATTTTGAAAAAATTTCTATTTTCGAGTTCATCTAACATGGACATTAATATTTATACTTGTTTTCGTATTCTATGAATAAGGGCTAGTAATGATTCGAACCAATTCAAAAATAGTTCAAAACTCGATTCGACAATTAAATCGTTGAACTAGGTTCATGAATCAAATGAGCTGAATATGAGCTAAAAATTAAGTTCGTTAACTAAATGAACTGATTTTGAACTATACATAATTTGATATTTAGATTCATTAGTCAACTCGATTATATATGAGATGGATTATGTTAAGTAGGTTTACAAATTTTCTCTCAATCTTAGTCCTATATTTTCTTTTAATCTAATGATTTTAATTTATAATTTATATTCTCAAGTGAACAAAAATATTTCTAAAAATAATTATACAAATAAAATCAATATCATATAAATTCCAATCTTATAATTTTTATTTTATTTCTATAATTTTTTATTTAAAAAAATATTATTTTAAAATGTCAAATGTATATAAAAAATAGACTTTAAAAATGACTTTTAAGTCCGTGAAACAAGTGAGTTGAACCCAACGAGATCAACCTAACGAATTGAACCGAGCAGTTCGTGAACTTCTAACGAATCAAGTTTGATCTGGAAAAAAAGTTCGTGATGAACTCGAACTAATATTTAAGCTGAACCAATTCTTAATAAGTCGAACTGAACCGAGGCGAGTTCGACTCGACTCGACTCATTTCCATTTCTATCTATGAGTATCTAAATAACCATAAATATATTCATTTAATCGTATTTCAAATAAAAATAATCTATAAATTATAATTTATAATATCATTTTAAATTTTTAGCAATGTTTAAACAAATTTAAGAATGTTACTATTGAGTTAAGAAATTCGACGAAGAGGGAGATCCAAAAAGACTATAAGAGAAGTTGTAAAATTTTTTTTTGAAATTAATGATTTCAATAGAAGTGTGGTCCTTAATAGAACATTGTGGCAAAAGTTGATCTATATAGCCGACCCCATCTAATGAGATAAGGCTTTATTGTTGTTGTACCTTTATATATCTATTTGATTTTGTCGGTCTTTAATTATTTAATAACAACTAACTTTCTTCAACTATTTTTTATTTTTTAATTTACTTTTTAATTAATTTATGTATAAAAATTGTTAAGTCATTGAAGAAATTGAATGTGCGAGAAACATAAAAAGGGAGGTTTTGGATTTGATTTTTAAGAATAAAATCTTTTTGAAACCAAGCACTTGAAGTTAACACAAGAACATAAATAAATGAACACAATTATTTTTATCCTGGTTCACTGTTAAGGAAGTTAATTCAATCCACTACTAAGGTGATTTGTCTTTCTCAATAAGGACTTAATCCACTATAACCAAACTGATTACAGATACAAACAAATAATACACGTCAATATTTACAACCACAAAGATCAATTGTCAATGTCTTTTTGAGAATTCTGACTAAAACCCTAGTCTCTCTAGGAACAATCAACTCACTATTAAATATAAGTTTATTTGTTTATAGTATTGCTTCTTGAAAGCAGATTACATAGAAATGAAATACAGATAATAACACAACTGTGTTAAGAGCAAGTTAGCGAACAACAGTTTCTTGCTAGAAAGTTAACGAACAAAAATTATTTGCTTTACAATACTTTAAAAAAGATTTACAAAGTAATTTCAGCAGCGTTTTGGAAAAATGAATCAGTGTAAATTTGTTATTTTCCTATTCATCCAAGTCTTTCTTTTATAGCCAAAAAGAAATATGTTGGAGGGTAGAATAAGAATACCATATTTCCAACTGTCTTCTTGCATAACAGTTAGTCTGAGTGATAGACATCATCGTATCAATCGTACAGTCTTTGCGCCACAAAATCATAGTAGTGAAAGGAGATGACCTTGTACTATTTCTCACATAAACCCTTTGACCTTCTCTTCTAATCTTCAGAGGCTTCAGAGTTTATATTAGTTGAAGCGTGTTTAGAAGGATCAAAATGAGTCTTATGAATCTTGGTCTTCAGAACTTGTTCAACATAACATTGTCTTCAGAGTCTTCATCATGTTGGTCTTTAGAATCGTTGTCTTCAAAACCTTTTCTTCATAATCTTCAGAACTTTTTCAACAAAACCTTGTATTTAGAGTCTTCAGAACCTTGGATCAAGAGA